TTATTACGCGTTTCCGGTTTTTTCGTTTCCGAATGTTTACATAAATGCGATGGAAAAATTTTTTCGACTATAAAAAAAACCGTTCGGCTATATTAATAATAATAATAATAATAAACTAGTTTTTCGGGTACGTAATACCGGAAGGAAATTTTCACGCTATAATTTCCGATAACTCTATAATAAGAAAAATTTTTTTTTTTTTTAATAATTTATTTGCATAAATTTTTATAGTATCTGACTTTAGGGGGGGAAAGGGAGGAAGAGAACCGAGAAACGGGTTCTTCTAAAAATTTCTAATTTTCTTTTTTATATTTTTATTTCTCACTGGAGAGAGAGAGAGAGAGAGAGAGAGAAAGATGAAAAGAGAGTGAGAGTGAAATTACAAAATATTTTATATGATCGTAAAAAAAAAAAAAAAAAAAAAAAAAAAAACTTTTTTTGCAATTTGAACTTTAATGCCCGAATAATCGATAAAAAATTTTTTCTTTTTTTTTCGAAATGTTCAATTATTATTATTATTATTATTATTAGTTTATCAATCGTTTTAGTTTCTCTTATCATTTTCTCCTCTTTTTCTCATAACTGTAAAGATTTTTTTAAAACAAGAACAAACAAAAATAAATAAATTATTTTTAACTGGAAAATGAATGACGTCACGAAAATTTGCGAAGAATTAAAAAAAAAATTATAGTGCTTTACGCGTTTCCCCCCCCCTGCCGTCCCCTTTATAAACTCTCTCGAACATTCGATTAACCAAAACAAATTCATAATTACTTAATCGGTAAAAAAAAAAAAAAAAAATTATGTAAGCAAAAAATAATCTCTAAAAAATACATCTTTAACTTATTAACGAATGTGCGAGAATTTTTTTTTTTTCTATTCTGTTAATTTGTTTTTCCTACGTATCGTGGCATTAGAATTAAAATTAAAAAAAAAAAAAAAAAAGCAACAACGAGACAGTTATTACTTTCACCCTGGAATGATTTTAATTTTATGAAAGTAAATATATACGAACCTGAAATACTTTTAATTCCTTATAACTAACAAAAAAAAAAAAAAAACTCCTTTCCCTTTTTTTTTTTTTTTTACATTTTTATTAACGCCCAAAGGACGGCTTGTTGATGATGATGATGATGATGATAATTTTTGTCCAGAAATTAAATAAAGTTTATTAAATATTATTACCGCCGCGGTTGGTAATAAAAAAAAAAAAAAAGAAAAATTAAAAAATTAAAATTACTCCGAACTCGCCCCAATTTTTTTTTAATAATAATTATTTCCCTTTCCCTTTTCCTTTTTTTTTTGCTATCAATCAAGCGAGCGAATTAATTTGGTTTTTGCTGGCGTTAAAAAAAAAACACGGGAAAAATACGTTTTTCGTTTTTACTGAAAAAATTATTATTATTTTGACATCGTCAATTTTTGTAACAGCAGCAGCAAATTTAAGGGTGTTATATCGATAAATCCTAGCAAACATTCGAAAAAAATTTTTTTTTTTTGCTATAATAAATCACGTCACAGCTAAAAACAAAAATTCCGCAAATCAAAACTTTCTATAATTGAAATAGTAAAGAACCGAAAAAAATAAAAATTTGACGTTTGACGTGACGTCGTCTTAATCGTTTCGACGTTATTATCATTATTATTAAAAAACGTTTACTTTTTAATAAATTCACGGATACGGTACTGTCTACGTCACGATTAATAATTATTCCGATGCAAAAATTAACGAACGAATTGTTCTTTTTTTTTTTTTTTTTTAAAAATCCTTTCCTCTTTTCATTGTAACACTTCCGGTATCGCCATAGTTAATAATTATATTTAACCGTCAAATCAATTACTTAATTCATTTTTTCCCTTAAGGCCCCCTCCCCTCACCCAAACGTTATGCGATCCTCATCATTACAACAACCCGTATAATTATCATTATCATTTATATTTTTTATTCGGTTAGGTTTCTAAAAAGTTCCCGAAACGTTTTACCCCGTAGCCTATACCCGACATACCGCGTGTCACTCCTGTTGCTGCTGCTGCTATATTTTATCACGTGGTTTCCAAATAATAATAATAATAATAATAATAATAATACGTATTGACTGACGTCATTAAATAAAATTTGACGAGGACGACGATGATGCGATGTTGACCGTCGCGTCATTTCGTAATGATAATAAACAATATTTCACGCACTATAAAACACGATAAAAGAATAAATAAATAGATAAATAAATAAATAAATTATTTATTTATTTATCAACGTGTTCTTTTATTACGTAATAATAATAATAATAATAAATTGACGTGAACGAAAAACTTATTTATTTGTAAAACGCGACGTTTAATATTGAAAAATTACCGGGAGTTTGGTTAATTGACAGGTGCTTACTTGTTTGTTTGTTTGTTTGCTCGTTTAACAGGTAATTTTTTTCCCTCTTTCGAGTGTTTATTTATCACCTGTCATTGTTTATAATTTTTATTAAAAAATAAAATAAATAATCATAATAAAAATAATAATTTTTCTCGAGAATGTAATAATTTTCGATTAATCGTTCGTATAGCGTCGTATCGAATTTTCAATTATGAAAAAATCATAATAATATCGATTGACTTTTGTCACGTGGTAAATAAAAAAATTAATAAAAAAAAAAAAAAGTGTTTTTTCATTGGCACGAAATGATGAATGTTTAAAAAACATTGAATGTAAATTATTATTATTATTATTATTATTTAGGTTACGATAATAAGAATTTTTATTTAGTTTTTTTTTTTTGTGTGTGTCACGCCATTTGTAATTTTACCGCTGACAATCATCCTTTTGACATTTTTTTTTTTTAATATTTCCCTCTCTCCCTCTCTCTCTTTTTCTCTTTCTCTCTTTGTAACGGTTTTGTTGCATAATTTTTCTTTTTTTTTTTTAAACACAAAAATTTTGTGTCATTCTATTGAATGTAAAAAAAAAAAATTTTTACAACAATTTACGAAAGTCAAATAAATAAATTTCTCACGACGTCAAATCTTTTCTCCCCCCCTTTCCCCTCACCCCCAAAAAAATAATAAAAAAGCAAAACGTGACCGATATCACCGGATATTGGGTGATCGGCAAAATGTGTGCGTGCGAATCGATAATTTTTTTTTTTTCTTTTTCGTTCATTTTTTGCAACCTCAAAATGGGAAAAAAAACCGTTACAAAGGATAAGAACAAACAAACAAACAAACAAACAAAAAAAGCGAAGCTAATTAAAAATTTATTGTCGGAAAATAATAATAATAATTCCGGTCGTTACGAATAAATCCTACTTTAAGCCACACGACTTTGTCATAGAAATTTTTTTTTTCAAGAAAACCAATTAGAAATTATTTAGCTTGCGACAAGTGACAACGGGTGAAAAAGGTTACTAATCGAACAAACAAACAAACACACAAACAAACGCTATCAGATTATTCATAATAATAATTTTATAATATAAAGCGAAAGTTTTTTCCAAAAAAAAAAAATTCCACCTATCCGAATTGATTTATTTTTTTAAATTTTATCCTGGAGACAAAAAAAAAAGGACATTAAGACAAAAATTTATCAATAATAATAATAATAATAATAATGATAATAATATTAAATAAATTATTAGGGCATGAACGATGACGACGACGACGACGACCACGCATTGCGTATATTCAAAAACCGTGACGACGACAAACCCGAGTTTAAATTTAATTGTTACGTTTCCACGACGTTTAAATATTTGTAATAATAATAATAATAATAATGATAATAAATGACAAAAAATTATAATTAAAAAAAATTTTTTTTTATTTATTTCGACGTCGTCTGCTAAACAAATGCAATAAAAAAAATTTTATTATTAAATACAGTTATCAATTTTCTTTCTTTTTTTTTTTTTTTCTATAACGTTTTCTTGCCAAAACGAAAGAAAAAAAATGATGATGATGATGATGATGATGAACAATCACATTATTATTGTTATTATTAAATTTCAACGTTTAACTTATAAATTTAAATTCACTGCCAATCGTGTCTAGGACACCTGAGGATTTCAAATTGGGCACACAAACACAAAAAAAACGTTACAAAATGATAAAAAATTTTTTAATTTAAATGATGACGACTTAACGAATGACACAATCACGTTCCCATTATCATTATTATCACAATTATTATTGTTATTTACCTTGAAATCGGAAAAAAAAATTAATTAATTATTTTCAATACCAAAAAAAAAAAAGGGATGAAAAGAAAAAACCTCTATTAAATGAAAAAAAAAAAGAAATATGGCTGCCGTTTAAGGGATTGATTACGTCACGAATCGTAAAAAAAAAAATTATTTTTAAAAACAATAGAAAATAATTTAAAGATTTAATTAGACAACAAACGACAAACGACAATCGATGACGAATACCGAAACGAAACAAAACAAAAAAAATTTCGAAACATTTTCTTCCATTCTTTTCAACAAATTGATTTTTTTTTTCTTTTTTTTTTGTGATGATGACGTCAGAAGGGAAAATCCTCTCTCGTTGTGAGAAAGCGGTGAAAATAGCGTACTCACTCACACTTTCTAAGAACGAAATTTTACAACCCCATGATTAATGACGTCACACCGTATAAAAACCCCACGATTTACGATTAAAATTTTCATTTTTTGAGAATCAAAAAATTTTTAAATAATTAATTAATTAATTAATGACTCGTCATTCATCCATTGTTTTTAAATAATAATAATAATATTCATGCATTGTAATTATCGCGTCACAAAATAATAATAATAATAATTTTCACCTGTCTCTTTTTAATTGAAATTAATATATATTTATATATCTGTCATATAATTATCTTATATAAATCTTACGCGTAATTTTGTTTTCTTTTGTTTGTTTGTTTGTTTGTTAGCTCGAATGTGTTTTTGACGGGGGGAAAAAAAACGAAAGCGAAGTTTCTTTTAATTTTAAAAAAAAAAAGTAAAAATACCAGAATAAATAAAATTATGTCACTTTCTAGACATTTTTTTGGAAAATTCCAATCGTTCGTCGACAACCAATCTAGAAAGAATTTTTCTCGCAATCGATATAAATGTAACCGTACAACAACAACCGTACCTGACTGAAATCGTATCGATTATGTAAAAAAAAAAAAAGTGATACAATTAATGAAAAGAACTCGTTTAAAAATTATTGAAAGTTAAATAAATTATTTTGATTTCGGTTTTAACCGGTTTTTTTTTTTTTTTTAAGTTGGCGGATTGCGTAACGGTTATTTTTTTTTTTTAATTTTAATTTACCATTTCGGATTGATTGACTAATAAAGTTGTTTATTATTTATTCCCTTCGGGGGGATTGATTATTTATTAACTTTCGAAAAGTGAGAAAAAAGAAAAGTAAAAATTAATAATATTATTATTCTTGTTTTTTTTGCAGATCTCAATCGCACTTTTTTTCGCCTTGTTCGCCGTCGTCAGCCACGGTGCTTCCATTCCAAACGCTCAAGAATCATCCAAACCGTCCGATTTGATCGAAATCGAAGTTGATGCCGCTCCCGAAAGTGGTGCCATACAAGGTCTTAGATTGAAAAGAAGCGGAGACCTCGGTGAAAATCTTCCAGAAATCGACATTGAAAAAATCGACAACGACGTCATTTCCGTGAACGGTGTCAGATTGAAAAGAAGCGAATTGAAAGATTTGTCGGATGTTAACCTCGACGAAGAAGCGACCGAAGATGATGCTTCCGGTGAAAGAACTAGAAGATCCGGCGGTGGAGACCTTTTGGGATTCCTCGGACAAAAACTCGGACAGAAAATCAGTGCTTTTGCCAGCGCCAGTTCCGGACACAATTCCGAAGCTGAAGTTCACTACGGTGCACCAGTCACGGTAAAAAAAAAAACAACACTTTCTTCGTCCTTAAACGTTGACTTTACCTTTCGAAAAGTTGTTAATAATGTTCCCCCTCCCCGCCTTTTTTTCTTTAGACATACGGCAAATCATTCGATTTCTGGGCCTTTAAAAAAGCCATCGTCGCCACTTTGCTTCAAGCCGCTAAAGCCATCAAGGGAGGAGCCATCGCTTTGAGCGGTCAACTTCTTAAAGCTAAAGGTCATCTCATCGCCGCCAAGGGTAAACTTCTCGCATCCAAAGGAGAACAGGTCAACCATCTCGGACGGGAGATCGCCGCTAAAGCTCTTTTACACTCTCCACACGCTGCCGGAGCTGCCACTGCTTTTGCTAACGCTGCTGTCGATCACGTACCAGACACCGGTAAGTGATTTTCTTTTTTTTTTAAACCGATTCCACTCTTCTCCGATCCTAAATTAACGACCTCACCCTTCCCTTGCAGGCTACTCTACCGTAGGATTAGCTAGCGGTTTCGCTGGACCAACTCAACCAGGTTACGTTGCCGTTTCTGGTGGATACCCAGTACCGACTCCACACGGATACAACAAACGAGGAGCCGTTAATCAACAGTACGCCGTTCCACAAGAACGTATGTACTTGAATAATATAGCTTATAATAATTAAAAAAAAAATATGTATATATACAAAAAAGTAAAAAAAAAAAAAAAAGCGGTGGCTTTGGGGTTAACAACAAATTTTTATGTAAAAGAAAAAAAAAAAATTTTCTTATCATAATAATGATAATGACGGGTAAGAATCGAATGTACATAAAAAAAAAAAAAAATTGATTTGATGAATGAATGTGAGTGAAAGTAATTAAAAATTCTTCGTTTTTTCCCCCTTATTACGTAACAAATTATTAAACTAACAAACATGTACGCTAAAAGCGATATATCGCTACGTCGATATATCGAGAAAAAAAACCAGCGAAAAAACGAGTCCTTTAACCAAAATTAAGACTGTTGTATAATAATAATAATAATAAATAAATTTAGCGAAAAACTAATAATAATAAAATTATGTCCCGGAAGGTATTTTAAACTAAATCATATCAAATTCGACATTTTCTTTTTTTTTTATTACCATCCTCGAGATACGGAACTATTATTATTAAATTAAAACAATCTTTACGTAATTGATTTATTAAATATCAAAAATAAGGAAAAATATCGACAAACACAAACAACAACAACAACCGGAGAAGGGTTTTTTTTTTTTTCTTTGACGTCACGAAACGTACAATTTTTTATTTATTTCACGGTCCGTCGAATTCGTACAATAATATATATCGTTGCATAAATGTACTATAATTTTGCTCTCCCCCTCCCCCTCTTCTCCAATACCTATTCCGTCCCTTCACTTCTCTTTCTCCCTTTCCCCCCTCACCTACAGATCGATAGAAATCGAATCAATAATAATAATAATAGTAATTCACGCTAACAATCTTCGATGAACAATAAAATTAAAGAAAGTATTAAAAAAAAAAGTAAAAAAATGAAATGAAATTTTTACATGGCGTGCCATATATTAAAACTATAATGATGATAATGATAATAATAATAATAATATTAGGTACGAAATCGAAGAAAAAAAAATGAGTAAAAGTGAACGAACACAAACGATTATACATGCCGCCATTGCATTATTTTTAACAATATAAAAACGAATGATCGATACGAAAATTTTGTTTTTTTTGGGGGGAGGGGGATACACATTCATTTCTTTAAGCTAACAAAAATTTATTTATTTATTTTTTGTTCCATTTGAAAAATTTAACCGGAAGTCTTCCGATATTTTTCTTGAAAAAATTTCCTACGGCCAAAAAGAAAATTTAATTTGTAAAAAAATAATCATTTATTAATTTTATAACTATTATTATTATCATTATGGCTAATAAAACTTGTTTATCCGATAGTTAATAAATAAATAAACAAATAAAGCGTTAATAATAATAATAATAATAAATGTCTTCCTGTAAATAAATCAAATCGGAATTAAAATTGATTCAATAAGTTCTCGCGCAAAACAACTTTCTAAACGAGAGTAAAAAAATCGAAAACGTGTATACATAACGTAACAAACGAGTCATTTCTACTTTATATAAAAACAACAAACGACAATAACAACAACAACAACAAACGGAAACAAACGGAAAAAAAATACGATCGATTTCTTCTTACTTATTATTCAAATCACTTCCCCATCCATAATTTTCGAATCAAATAATTTTTTTTTTTTTTTTTTTTATTAGACGTTAATAAAAATTTTGAAAAAAAAAAATAACGAATTGGCTTGGCGGGAAATTTTAAATTTCCCGCACCTGAGGCATAAATACAAAAATGACAACAACAACAACAAAAACTTGAGAAATCGTACATTTCGTTGTGAAATTTAATGACTCGGAAATAATTTTATTTGCTTTCCACACTTTACACTATACCACCTCACCACCAATTCCTTCATCCCTTCGGCAAAAGGAACTCCCCGAAATTATTAAAATTGGAAAAAAAAGTTTTATTGAATTTATTTTTAAAAAATTTTTTTTAGGCTTTCGAAACGAATATGAAAAATCATTGCTTTCAGCGACATCATTAACGAATTTTGTGTCATATCCTCAGCTCCCCTCTCCCTTCCCATTCCCCCCAAATTATTTTCGATTGCTTAATATTTTATCGAAAATTTTCATCCTATCCTATTATTGTTTTTTTTTTCTCGTGTTGCAACAACACGTATGTGAGAAATATACAAACACTCCGACAATTTAATTCCACGTCTTTTCTATAGCCTCTCTCTCTCTCTCTTTCTTTCCCATTATCACACCCATATCTTTTCTCCATTTCTTACTTCTGCCGTGAACAAAATTTCGATTTGTGAAACACATAAAACGAATTAAACGTTATCGAAAAAAAAAGAAAGTCAAAAAAAAAAAAATTATTTTTTCTTTCTTTCTTTATACATGAATTTAACTTTCCGACCACGTTTTCGTCGTTAAAAATCCATATCCGCTTTATTATTTACTCTATGGAAAAAAATAATAATAATAATAGTTTTATATATTATGCTCGTGAACATTCATTGTTACGTAATTAAATAAATTAACCTAGAGTGTGTCGTGCGCAGTGCAAAAAAAAATATGTGTAAATATAATTAATAATAATAATAATAATAATTTGATCGCGATTAACAATCACCCATTTAGAGAATTCGAAATTCGTTTTTTTTTTTCTCTCTCTCTCTCCCCCCATCTCAATAATTTTTACAATTTTAACTTTATTAATTAATTTAGCTCAATTCTAAAAAAACGACGTGGAAATAATAATAGTAATAATAATAATAATAATAATCACTAATGATGACTAACGGAGAGGATTACAATTGTTTTTTTAACGAAATTTTCTAACTCGTATTCCTCTCCCCCAACAAAAAAAAAAAACTATCCCTTTGCCAGTAGCAAAAAAAATCTCTCCTTATTGGTAAATTTCAGTGCCAGGCGGTGTTCAAGCTGGTCTACTACTATTGAAACCGATCAACGTACCAGAAGGAAAACCATTTTACGGTAATAGAAAAACTACTTTTACATCGGGAGATTCACAAGTATCCGGTTTAAGAGTACAAAGGAACGTTCGATACTAAGTGAGATAGAAAATAAAGACTTGACAAACCGAAAGTAGTAATAACATACATAAAAAAAACATTTAAACAAACAATAAACAAAAACATACAACACAATACAAACAAAAAAAACAGTTTAAATTTAAATAACAATAATAAATAAATAAATAAATAGAAACCGAACGTCATTGGAATACTAAAATAAAGGTAATGTGTACGAAATGTGTAAAAATAATAAAAATTTCTCTCTTCATTTGCTGCTGCCACTACAATCATCAACATTTTTAACATTTATTTACACACTTATTCAATTAAACACGTAATTTTTTTTTTTTTATTATTATTATAACTATCGACTGATAATCTAATTCTTATAGTACTATAAACCTGACTATACTATAAAACAAACTATTTCACGCTATAAAAAAAATTATAACGTATTTCGCCTGACTAATTCAAATTAGACAACTTTCACGACACAATTCTTCTTTCAGAATTTTGGTTATCGTTATCGTATAAGTAGTAGTAGTAATTGTGATGACCTCTTGAACCTTTTCTATTTTTCTTTTCTTTTCCATAAAATCGTTTACATTGTCAAAAATGTCTCTCTTTTCATCTTTTAACGCCTTTTGCATGTAATAATTAATTACATCACGATTACAACCGCGAATTGATAACATTTTTTTTTTTTTAACCGCTTCATTTGCTTTGTGAAATTTGCTAAAGTTCAAAGCCGCAAAAACCAACACAAATAATAATTCAAATTTTTTTTTTTCTTTTCTTTTTCAGATGATTCTAAATCGAATTAAAAACAAAAACAATATCCATTTCGAAATAAAATAAAAATACATACACACTCAAAAAAAACAAAAACGTAGGAAAAAAAAAATGAAAAAAAAAACATTATCATCATTATCATCATCATCATCATCGACATCATTGTCATCATCATCATCATCGCCATCATCGTAATAATAATAATAATCATTTATATCATCGTATTAATAATCATTTACAAGTCAATAGCGACAAGATATTTTTTTATAGTAAAACCATAAAAACAAAAAAACAAAAACCAAACGAAAATTACAGAAAAAAAAAAGCAGAAGAAAGAAAATTATTATGTTTATTATTATTATTTTTCGTTGGAACAAAGTGCAAAGCGATTAACTTTATTACACGTATTATTAATTTTATTATTATTATCATCATTAATTTTTTTTTTTTTTTTACGTTTTAAAAAATGCGAATCGATTTGAAAACGAAAAAAATATCGTTTAAATTAAATAACAATCAATCAATTCGATTAATCGATATATATCGATCGCAATAATTATTAATAATAATAATAATTTTTTTTTTTTATAATAAAAAAATGGCTGTAAGGATATATACATGTGTAAAACACGTGGTTAACACACGTGTACTCGTCAAAGAAAAAAAACAAAAAAATCATAAAAAATAAAAGAAAATAAGAAAAAAAAAACAAAAAAAAAAATTTATCGAGTCTAGTCTAATTTTGTTTTTTTTTTTTTTTTTTTTAATCATTTTTATTATTCATTTATTCACTCATTAATTTGTCAAATTTGTTAAAAAATAATAAAAATTATAATTAAAAAAAAAAAAATAATTAAAAACAATTTGTATTTATTTCTATTCAAAATCCCTTAAAATTTATCATTATTATTTCCTATTGTTACAAATTATTTTTTTTATCGATTATGTTGTATGGTCCCTTCCTGTCTACAACCTTTCGATTACTTCAACTTTCCCTACTTGCAAAAACTAAATAAATCACAACCACATTAAATCATTTAACCCTTATTTAACTTTATACACATCCAAACTGAATTTGTTTCGATAGGGAACAGAATTGGTGACACTCATGAGTTTGTTCGATAAAAAGATTTTGAAGCAGCAATCGTTTTAAACTCATATAAGTAATCATCAGACCAAGAATCATGTTCCCACTTAGCTCAACTACAATTACTTATATTATATAATTTATAACCTTATCATTTGCACTTTAGTTATAACTTTTAACTTATTAATAAACTTTTACATAATATTCATGACAATAAGTTTAAAATTTATAAATAAATCAATGTAACCCAAGTGCCAAAAGGTGCAAACACAACAGGTAATGTTAATAATAATTTTGTAACTTCATTTCATCTTTTGAGTTTTAAAATAACAAAATAAGAATAGAATAAGGTACAGTTAAGTAAAACGAAACTAAAAACAAATGAATAATCAACTTGTAATGAGAGATATACAAAAATAAATGAATTCAAAAATCAGAAAAAATTTCTTATTGTCACACACATAACTGATTACCACAAGTCTTTTTCAAAAAACCTTTTACAAACACGTTAATAACTTAATTATTATCTTAAATAAAGAATGATTTATAATACAAAATGCTAATTACGGTATCACCGAATAATGTCAGTTAAAAAAAATAGAAATAATTTAACATATATCACACCATGATGCATTTTTTTTTTGCTGTTGCAAGCATAAAAATTTTTGCAAGTTTGAAAAATTTAAAAAGAAACACTTACCAATGCAATTTAAACGTACTTGAACATCATTTTATAAATTTCACAAACCGCGCCATCTTTCGTACGATATAAAATATTTAAGAAAAAAAACCGTTAACTTTTACTTTTTTTTCACTTTTATAAATTAAACAAAAATTATATAAAAACGATAACTATTTCACAAAACAAACACATTTTCTTAAAACTAAAATAATTAATTAAAAAAATTTCGATACATATAAACAATTAACCACAACTAATCACAATTAAAACACAAACAATTTAAATAAAATTAATTACACACAACAATTTTTTCACCTGTCAACCATTTTGGTTTTAATTACCGCATGTGCGCGCGCATCATCCTTCCATTATTATTTTTTAATTTTCAAAAAAAAAAAAAAAAATAATGGCCGAAAATGAAAGGTAATGAAACGTTTATTGTTTTTATTCATTTGTTAATGTAAGTAATTAATAAATTATTCATATAACGTAAGTAATTAATAATTTACGACTTTTTTTTTTGTTTTTTTGTTTTTTTTTTGTTATTATTTATCGTTGTTCCTCTAAGAATTTCTTCTTTTTTTTTTTTTTTGACGCCATTCCTGTCGTGATTTCCTTCCATACTTTTTTTTCCTCCCTCACACGCGTGCGCGCACACACACACACACTTCTAACATTTCATTGGTGGAATTTTTTTAATGGCCGCCGTTAAAAAACAAAAAAAAAAAAAAAATTAACCGTGACGTCATAAATTAACTAAAATGGAAGATTTTTTTAATGGCCGCCGTTGAAAATTAAACAAACAAAAAAAAAATTAACCGTGACGTCATAAATTAAATAAAATGGAGGATTTTTTTTAAATAGATTTAACTATAACTATTATTTAAACGACAAGGAATATTAAAAATTAAAAGGTTATCATCGATTAAATATATATATAAATCGATATTATTATTATTATAATTATTTAATAGATGCGATAAGACAATAGTGTAATATAATATAGCAATTACAAAAGAAAATTTTCTATAGCGGTTCTATAAAAAAAAAAAAAAATCTATTATTAAAAACTTTTCTTTAAAAAAAAATTTTTCTTCTTATTATTATTATTATTTCTTATCGTTCGTTTATTGTTTAACGTCACTATTATTATTATTATCGATTTCAAATCCTTTTATTTGAAATTGTACGAACGAAAGAACAAGATAAAAGGATAATAATAATAATAATAATAATAATAAAATTTAAATTCAAACAATTTAATAAAAAAATAGCGAATTAATAGACTATAAATAAAATTTAATAAAATTTTATTATTAAATAAATATTTATTTGTTTGTTTTTAACTTTACGGTAAATCACTCACTCGTTCCACGACATTTTTTTAAAACAAAAATTTATTTTTATAGCGCTATATGATTTTAATTACGCTATATTTTTATCGATCGAGTGAAAAAAAATTTTTAAAATTTTTTTTTGATTTTTCCAAAAATTTATTAAAAATATATTTTGGGGAAAAATTATAAATTTATAGCGTTTTTTTACTATTGCTATAAAATAATTGTTTGTAGGGGAAAAAAAATAATAATGATAATAATTATTATTATTATAAAAAAAAAATCAATAAAAAATTTTTTATTAATAATTTATAGTATGTATAGTAAATAAAAATTTATAAAATGGCGCGTAATTTTTATAATTTAAAAAAAATAATAAAATAAAATAAATAATTTTAAGAGAGAGAGAAAGAGAGATAGAGAGAGACTATAATTATATATAATACTATATAGACTATAATTATAGACTATAATATATATAGCGTTCGTTTCATTTTGGTTTTAATCTTTTACCAAATGTTGTTTCGTTTGATTCATCATTATCATCATCTTCTTCTCTAAATTCCAAATTAGATAAATAATCACGTGATACTTGGTCTTTATCGTTGACGTCATCATCATCATCGTTAGCGTCATCAACTCGTTCGTTATCAATTTCATCGTTATCAGAGTGTAAAAATTTATCATTATCAGTGTCGTAGTCTGATAGGTTACGTTATCCAACGATAATTTTATCATTGACTAGGTCATCGTGGCTCGTCGTCGTTTGTTCGTAACTGCTAACATCATCTGAAACCACGTCTTTTTTTTTATAATTATTATTATTATTGACATTATTTAAAAATTGATTGGCCACGCTTCCAGCTGCTTGAAGTCCGGCTAATGTTTTAGCTGCTTGTTCGCTAGGCAATGAAGAATAAAACGGAACTTCCGGTACGGTTTTCAAATGATAAACTCGACTTTCGTCTTCTGCCGTTTCTAGTTCATCGTCCTCGTTGTTGTTATTGTTAAATTTTAATTTATCCGGTTTCGATTGTTCTTCGACGGATGAGTCTTTAACGTCAGCAAGTGTGGCCTCGTTTGTTGATCTTATAACGGTGAGACTTTTTCTTGATTCCGATGCTTCCGGTTCGTAATCCGGACTGTTTGAACTGTAAATACCGTTTGTATCATCAGCAGCGAGTGCGTTAGCGCCGATGTAAACGTAGGGCTGCTGTTGGGATTGAGCGTAGGTTTGGTAAAAATTTTCCGGTAGGTAAAGGGCATGTAATTGACCGTAGACAGCACCCTGTGACGAATCTGTCGTATCTTGTGTTGTCTGAATCGAATTTTGAATTTCGGGTTGGATGTATAAACTTTGAGCGGTAGGCTGTTGTACGGCTTGCTGTTGATCGACGTATGCTAAAACAGATTGTGACAGCACGGTCGGGTATCCGTTCATCAATTGTAAAAGTTCATTCGGTGTTAACGTGGCAACAGCAGTTCCGGAGGTTGTACTCGGTTGTTCTCCTTGAAGATAAGCATAACCTTGGGTTAGGTATATATTTTGTTGAGCGTTTTGACCATTGCTCGGCGTCGATTGAGGATCTAGAGTAGGTGGTACTTTATGAACGGGTAAACTTGGATCCGGATCCGGTGCGTAATACAATTTTGTACCGTCATTGGTATTAATGACGACATCGTTGGTTGCTTCGGTTACTTGATAACCGTTACCTTTCGTTTCCGCTTCAGCAGTTGCATGTTTAAGTAAATTTGTCACGTCGAGGGATGCAGACTGATCAAAATTTTTCAATTCAACTATTTCCGTTTGCTTAACGTTTAAATCACCCGTGGGTTTTGGTCTTTTCACGTATGGAATCACGCTGGAACCCGAATTTTCTCCTTTGAAACTATTTCCGTTAAAATTTAAATTTCCTCCTTTGAAACTGTTTCCGTTAAAATTTGAGTTTCCTCCTTTGAAACTATTTCCGTTAAAATTTGAATTTCTGTAAGATTGTTGAGGTGGATGAGGATTGTGGACACTAAACGATGGAGTCGGTTTAGGTCCTAAATTCGGAGCTGGTACTTCTTTAATCGGTCCACTATTATCATCGGCTGCAAATACATGCTGGAACGGAGTTGAAGATGGTGATTGAGGAGGAGGTGGAGGTGGTGGAGAAGGAGAGGGTGGAGGAGATTTTTGAAAACTGTTAAAAGTCGGAGTGAATTGAGATTGACTCGTCAGCGAAGTTTTTAACGGAGTCCGATTTGGTACCTTCGTCAAAGGAGTCAATTGATTAATTTGAGAATTAACTCTTTGTTTATGAAAATTAATTTGTGCTGCGTGAGCCAATTCCGCTTCGTGAGCCAATTGAGCTTGATGAGCAATTTGAGTATGTAAAAGTTGAGTACCGAATGGTACTGGAGATTCAATTGTTATTTGCGTTGGATGCGGTATTCTTATTTCGTGAGGTACCGGTGGCAATTCGGGTACCAATTGAGATCCTTGAGATAATTGAACTCCTCCATTACCCGATTGTGTACCGTGATTATTCTGTCCTCCACCACCACCGCCAGACTGAACACCGTGATTTATTTGACCTCCGACATTATTCGATTGAACTCCTTTGGGTATGTGCACAACGTTACTCGATTGTGTACCGTGAACCATTTGACCTCCGACAGCCGTTTGACTTTCTTGAGTTATTTTCGTACCGTGTGGTATTTTATTACCATTTTGGGCATTAAATAAATTTTGTGTAAATTTCGGTCCCTGACTTATCTGAACCGGAGTTTTATGAGTTGCCGAAAAATACAATCCGCCATTTGTATTTTTAAATTGATTCGTTGATTTTTGTCCCAAAGTCGTTCTAAAAGTTCCAAAATTTTTATACGGAAATCCAAAACCTGCAAAAAAAAAAATAAAAAATTAACATAAAATTTTTCTTTCTCTCTCTCTCTCTCTTTCTCTTTTCATTTGTGAAAGCTAAATATTTATTTATTTATTAAAAAAATCGATACAACTTTTTATTTTACATCGATCAATAAAAATTTTTAATAAATAACAACTTTCTCCAAAATCATAATAAAAAAAATTTATACTTCGCGTCCTTTTCCTTTAACACGTTATCATCATTTTCTTTTTCTTCTTATCACTTACTTACCGTATGAAGGTATTTTATTATACAAATGTAAAGGTGGTAGTAGCGGTGGAGGTTTCGGCAACGGTTTTATATGATTCGTGTTGTAAAAAAACGACGGATTCGGATGTGGAAAAGCCTGACGGAAAACGTCATTTTTTCCATAATTTTTTTGCATCGGAGAACGATTTCTTAAATATTTATAGTGACCTTGAAAACTATTTACTGGTCCGTGTACATTTTTTAATATCCTTTGATTTCCGGTGGGAACCGGAAGTGGCTGCTGCTGCTTTTGTTGCAAATATTTTCCATCGCAACTCGCTACTACGATAATCACAAACGATAAAAAAACCTAAAACAAATAATTAAATTTTTAATGTTTTAATACCCTGTGACCTTTGACCCTATTATTATTATTATTATTATTATTATTATTATTATTTATTGATGATGATGATGATTAATCTATATGTTTTTGGAATATTTTTTAGTTTTGTTCGTGCGAATGTTCTTTTTTTTTTTCTTACAATAATTTTTTTTTTTTAGTCACGTGACTACGCTATTATTATTATTATTACTTCAATAGAATTTTTTTATTTCTGAGAGTTCCAGTTTAAAAAACAAAAAAAAAGTAATTAACACACCGAACAATGGCTTTTCTTTTCGTTTTTTTTTTTTTTTTTTATAAGAAAACTAAAACTCTCACATTAATTTTATTGTTTGCTCTTTTTATTTTAAAAAAAAATTTTTTAATTAACACGTTTTTGTTAACGAAAATTCTATTTAAAAAAAAATTTTTTTTTTGTGTTTTTTTTTCCCCTAATTTATATATCGGTGATAAGATTCACACGAACTGGAATCATTATTATCATTATCATTATTATCATTATCATTATTATCATTATTATTAAGATTAAATTAAAATGAGTTGAAACGTTTTGAATTTTAAATAATAAATCAAATTTTTTTTTTAATTTTTTTTTTGTACGAAGACAAATCAATTATTTATTACTGGAAGTGATTTTATTATTTATTTATTATTCTTCTGCCACGTTCCAGCAAATTATTATTATTATCATCATCACGTACACTCGTTATCTTTAAAAGAAAAAAAATTTTAACATAACAAAAATTTTGGACGCATATCATAATTATTTTACCATATTACCGCTCCTTAAAAAAGACAAACCGTTAACGATTTTGTAAAGAGAGAGAGAGAGAGAGAGAGAGGGAGGAAGAGAGAGAGTGAAAGAGAGAGAAAAAAAGAGAGAAATGTAAATAAAAAGCAAAAGTTTTTAGCAAAAAAAAAAAAAAATTTAAAAAAAATGAAACATTTATGACACGCATGAAAACGTATATATCAAACGAGACCTCTTACTTTTTCCATCATTATTATTATCATTATCATCATTATTATTATTATTAGTAAAATAGATTTATTTTTTTTATTTATTCTTCTGCTTTTTTTTTTTAGTAATTTAAAAAAAAAACCGGTTTTATAATAAATATATATATATAAAAAGTGAAATTGTAAAAAAAAAAAAAAAATTCTTTTCTCCAAAAAAAAAAACCTGGTGGGCACGTTAACGAATTCAATTAACTAGTTTAAAATTCGACTCCAGTCGGTCGCAAAAGAAAGCAAAAATTTTATGATAATGATAATAAAAAAGTGAAAGAAAACCCAGCCAAGGTTGTTGTTGTAAAAAAAAAAAAATTTAAGGATGTAACTTTTAAAGAAAAAAAAGTTTTTCCGGAACTATTAACAAAAAAAAAAATTAAAAATTTCCCCTTTCCCCCCCGAAAAATTATTAATATCAACGACTATTTTTCTTTTTTCTTCTTTCCATCCTTCCTTCCTTCCTTCCTTTCTCCTTTCCTTTTTTCTTTCCTTTTGATATTTTAAAATTTCCAGTGATTAATTAAAGAAGAAGAAAAAAACTGAAATATACGATAAAAGGGATAAAATAAAGTAAAAAATGACTGGAATTATATTTTCTGGAATGAAATTTTTTTTTGTGCGACGGAACGAAATTCGGCTAAATGACGGCAAATCCTCTCTCTCTTTCCCTCTTTCTCTCTGTCTTCATGTCTTCCTTTTCCTTTTTCTTTCTCTTTTTTCTTTCTTTTTTTCTCATTCTTTTTCACTATTTTTCCGTCTCTCTCTCTCTGTTTCTCTTTTTTTGAAGACGACAAATTTTCTCTCTCTTTGTTTCTAAAGACAAAAAATTCTCTCTCTCTCTCTCTGTCTCTTTCTGACGACAGCAAATTCTCATTCCCTCGTTTTCTCTGCCCCTCTGTCTTCCTCTCTATCTTTTTTTTTCTTTCCTACTTTCTTGCTCTATTTTTTTTCCTTCTCTCATGCTTTCTTTCCCCCTCTCACTCTCACTCTCTCTTTCTGCGACTAACTCATTATTAAATAGTGTTTAATTAATATCGAATTAACAATTCACCGTATGCACTACATATTATATTATTTATTCGTCTATGACGTAACAGGTATTAAAAATTAAAATTTTTCCTGAAAACATAAAAAAGAAAAGAAAATTTTTTTTTCTTTTCTTTTTTTTCTTTTTATTACGTAATAAATATTACAAAGATTAATTAAATATTTTAATAACTATTAATTAACTTGTCAGTTAAAATGTGTTATCATCAACAGTTAGTCGTTTAACTAACTAACTAACTAACTACTTTTAGTTGTAACAACAACAACAACAACAACAACAACAACAACCAACAACAAAACGATACAAAACTATTTTTTTTTATTTGCAACGATTACGAATTTTGCCATCATTATCATCATCATCATCATCATCCTTATTATTATTATTATTATTATTATTATTATTATTATTATTATTATTATTATTACTTATAATTATAGGTTTGATATCAGCAAATTAAAAAAAAATACAATTTTTTTTAATTAAAACGAAAGTTAATTATAGGAAGTTTCAATTTAATTTAATTTGATTTTTTTTTATTTGTTTTTATTTATTATTATTATTATTATTATTATTGATTTGCTACATAATTATAGTTTATAGTATTTATAGCGTTATGCGAGCAAAATGAAAAAAATCAAAAATTTTTTTTTGTTGTTTTTGTTTTTTTTTTTTTTAAAAAGAAAGTTTTCGGGCGTGTAAAAATTATAGAAAAAAAATTATTATTATTATTTTGTGATTAACCTTTTATAGTTGCTATAACTATAAACTATATTTGAAAAATTTTTACTATAACCGGAAATACTTAATTTTTTTTCGGAAATAAAAAAATTCGAATGAAAGTAAAAATTTGAAAAAGAAATAATATCGTTAGCCGTTATTGTAAATAAAGTCTATAATTTTACTATGTATAACTATAAAAATAAAATTTTATCGATTTTATCAAACTATAATTTATTTATTTATAATAATAATAATAATAATAATAATTACGTTTCGATCGAAATAAAGCCTCCCTTCGCAAAAAAAAAGAAAAATGACGGTTGGTACATAAGGTAAACATAAGATTAAAAAAATTAATTTATAGACTATAAAACGAAAAGAGAGATTAAAAAAAACAAAATTTTATAGTTTAAAATTTTTCGCTATAAAAATCCAAAAAAAAAAAATTTTTTTTGTCAACGTGGAAACGGAAAACGGCCGATGAGAGGTAAAAAGCGCGCGGGCGCGAAAATTCAAATGAAAATGACGTCACACATTTGCCATTTCTCTCGTTTGCTGTAACATACAAGCTCTCTAACCTTTCATCTCTCCCTCCCTTACCCCTCTCCCCTTAACATTCGCATAGTAATAAAATAATCTCATTAAAAATATTCTTTTTTTTAAAATAAAAACTGGAAAAAACTGGAAAAATAAAAACTGGAAAAGAAAGAAACTGGAGAGAAATTTATTTTACATGCATTAATAATTTTTAAACGCCTCAATCGCAACGACGAGTTAACAACTTTCAACAATAATGATAATGATAATAATTTTTATTATAACCTCGCGTTTCAGGTTTTGCGCGAGTTCATTTTTTATCAACGAAATAATTTTAAATCCTTATCAATTTAATAGATGATGATGATAATAATGATAATTATTATTATTTGTATGAGAAAGAAAACGGAAAGTTTGATTTTTTTTTTTTTTGGGGGGGGGGGGGAAACGATAAAATTCTAATCGGAAAAACTAATTCGGAAATTGGGAGAAAAAATAAGAAGTTCGTTAATGAAAAGGTCAAGGTCAAAAGGAGAAAAAAAATTGGGCGAGTGGGTGGGGGGTTGCGGGGGTATTTTTTTTATTAATTTAGAAAGTTGCCCTGGCGAAGTCATTAAAAAAAAAAAAGAAAATTTACAGTAAATAAATAAGTCGTACGAATAAAAAAAAAAAAAAAAACTATTCGTACCTTTAAAAAAAATTCGATCTATCGATCTATCGATCGATGGATCGATAAATTAAATAATTAATTATTGATTTTTTTTTTTTTAAATCTTTTTTCGCGCTTTCGTTTTTTATTGTGTAAAATAATTTTTTTTTACCCTTGAAAACAACAATCCTTTGAAAAAATTAATAAATTATTATTATCATTATTATTATTACTTTAATGCGTAAGACGTTAAATTATTATTATTATTATTGAAAAATAAATAAATAAGTAAATACAAACCTTTGGTATCCGCATTTTTATTCTTCGGATTCACACACAAAAAAAAAAAAAAATTTTTTTTTTCTTAAAAAATCTTTTCGTGTTGTACCGGCATATAATAATAATAATGAAAACGCACCTATATCACTCTCGCGCTCGCACACACACACACACTCACGCACACCTGAACAGGTGATAGAGTTTAATGACACAATTAGGTCAAACGACTCTGTTATATACGCGTCCTAGACCTTCACTTCTTAATTTATTTTCTCTTTTTAAACTTCCAAACGAATTTACTACTACTCTTCTCTCTCTCTCTCTCTTTTCTCCCACTCTCTCTTTAAACATCGCCGTGAAATAACGATTATTATTATTATTATTATTATTATTATTATTATTAAGTATAGAGGCTATAATTTTTTTTTTCTCTCTCTTCTTGTTTTTGTTGTTTGTTTGTTTTTTTAAATCCCATTTCGTTTTAATATTATTATTATTATTATTTCAACGCACTAATTTGAGGGGAATTGATGATGATGATGA